CCTCCCAAACCATCACTCCCCAGCAGGGAGGGCAGGTACCTTTGTCCAGCAGTGTTGGGGACAGGGATGTGAGGTCACCAAACTGAAAGAAAAAGGAGTTTTGGGTCAGTGAGGCTCTGGGGAGCTGAGGTGTCAGAGAATTTCAAGCACCCAGGAGAGACTGTGAGCATTGGTGGTGGAGAGCAGAAATGAAAACCAACCACAGCTTTTGGGGAAAAAGCCTTTTGCTGCCATTTAAACCTCTGGGCAAACACCACACACAACAATCCAGGGCAGGGTTTAGCTCTGGAATTAAGGGAGAAGGAAAGAATGGAAATTTTTGCATCTCCCAGGTGATGACCAAGTGCTGCTACAGGTAAAAGTGGTGCCTTTTCTCCAGCCCTTTCCAACTCTCAGGCATTTCCCCTCCCTGCAAAGCCTTTGCAGTGATGTCTGAGAGAGTTTGGCCATCCAGGATGTGGAACCAGAGAGCTCCTTGGCTCTGAAGCTGTGGTGTCCCTCTCAAGGACCACGTCTGAGACACCAAATTGCTGCAACAACAATTTTGGAAAGTCATGGAAAGCTGGGCAGGAGCTGAGGAGAGTGGGAATTGCAAAATCCAGTGGGAGTGGGAGGACACCTCATCCTGCTTTGCTGGGAAGAATCAGCCTCCTCCTGGAGAGCAGGAATATTGCAAGGGTTGAATGGAGGAAAAGCCTGAGGGATGGGAGCCAGACTCTGCCTTTCCTGTTCCTTTAATACCACAGAAGGAGGAGGTTCTGCAGGGAACAGTGGGAACTCAGCACTGCAGCTGGAGCAGTGTGGGAGGGCAAGGAAGGCAGAACCAACAGGATTTGGTGGCTTTGGTTTGCCTGGATCCCTCCATGAGCTCTGTGGAAGCTTCAAGGGGCAAATGAGATCAGTTTTGAGCATGTGGGCTCAGTTCTAAACTCACAGTAGTTTCAGCATTGCTGTCACAGGTTCAGCTGGGGCTTTTAACTCTGTATTTTAACTGTATTTTAACTCTGTATTTTAACTCTGTATTTTAACTGTATTTCAGAGGGAAAAACTGGATGTGGCCTCAGCTAGGCAGGACAGGACCTGCCTGCAAGCCAGGCACCAGAATTACTGTGAAAAAAAAAACCCCAAACCCTTCACAAACAGCCCAAACAACCCCATCATCCTCTTCTTCACCTCAAAAATGGAGGGAGTGGCTCACTGTGCAGGTAATGCTGGAGCTTACAGAGCCCTGGAGAAGCAACTTTTGGACCATTTTTGCTTGGTTTTCATGGACTTTGCCCTGTCAGGAACCCAAAGTCAGGGCTGGCAGTCACAGGTGGTGCAGAGAAGGGGGGAGATCCTTTCCCTCCCTCCTCCAAGCCTCCAAATAATGCTCAACCACCCCAAACCCACCAGCTCAGGGAATATGCTCCAGGAATTCTTTCCTTATGCCAAAACAACTCAATAAATAATTTTTGTTGCAAAACAAGCCGAGGGCGCAGCGTGCTGCGTAAACCAGCGGTGCCTTTTGAGGAGCTGCTCCTTTTGAGTTGGTTTGTAGGGAATAAAGGGCTCTCACCTCTCCCATGACAGCAATTGGGGTCTCCCCTGTTGCCTGGGCCACACGGTGCTCCACCAGGTAGAACATGTACTCGTCGTAGAGCAGGCGGATCAGGTGGAAGGAGCCAAAGCTGGCGGCGCTGCGCAGGGTGAGGTCCCGGATCACCATGGAGCTGGGAACGGCAGGAATCACAAATTTGGGATGAGTTTTACATCTGTGCCATGGCTGATGTGAGTTCTGGATCCTGGTGGTTCTGTGGGACCCAACACTCTCTCTGCCTCGGACCCAAAAGTACCAAAACAGTTTAAGAAATCTGGTTTATGGAGCATCCTATCCCCATCCTGAAGGGACACCAGAACCACAGTCAAGCAGAGTTTAATGGAAATAAAGAACTTGGCCTTGGCTTTAAGAAATTCAGTTTATGGAGCATCTTATCCCCATCCTGAAAGGACACCAGAACCACAGTCAAGCAGAGTTTAATGGAAGTGAAGAACTTGGTCTTAGCTTTAAGAAATTTAGTTTATGGAGCATCCTATCCCCATCCTGAAGGGATAGGAGAACCATATTTAAGCAGAGTTTCATGGGAGTAAAGAACTTGGCCTTGGCTTTAAGAAATTTGGTTTATGGAATACCTCATCCCATCTTGGCCTTGGCTTTAAGAAATTTGGTTTATGGAATATCTTATCCCTGTCCTGAAAGGACACCAGAACCACATTTAGGCAGAGTTTAATGGGAGTAAACAACTTGGACTTGGCTTTAAGAAATTTAGTTTATGGAGTATCTTAACCCAACCTGGCCTTGGCTTTAAGAAATTTAGTTTATGGAGTATCCTATCCCCGTCTTGAAAGGTTACCAGAACCACATTGAAGCAGAGTTTAATAGGAGTAAAGATCTTGGCCTTGGCTTTTCATGGAGTTCTTTACATGCCCCAAGGTTGATGCAGAAATACCCCCAAAATAAGAAAGAAAATGTACCTGTAGAAAGACCACTTCAACAGGAACTGCCTGGCTGCCTTGGGGAAGCTGGGGCTGCCCTCGTGATGCTTCAGCACTTGAGTGACCACATTGTCCAGCCAGCTGGCCCACTGGTCCAGAGAGCTCTGCTGCTGCAGAGTCAGCTTGAAATCCTGCTCCAGCTTCTGCACCATGCCCTCCTCACACTGGCACACCCACGAGGCCTGCTCCTGATCAGGAGAAAGAGTTCTCAGTTACTCATGCCCTGCTCCTGTTTGCCTTATCTCTCTCTTATGACCACAATCACTCCTCCCTCAGGAAGGGACATCTGCTGATAAGAGGCTGTTGAATGTCCCTGCATGGCTGATAAGAACTACAGCATCCCATTGGGAGATGTGAGCCCAGAGGGAGGAGCCAAGCATTCCTAGCTGGATATAATCTGGAGATTCTGGAACACCAGCACAGCTTCTCCACTGGATTCCCCAGAGGAGCAGCAGCTGCCTCTGCCCCTGGATCTTCAGAGGAAGATTCCACCCTTCTACAGGATTCCTGCTCCAGCAGAACCACCCCTGACACTGCAGGAGAGCTGAGCCACAATTCCAATGGGACTGCTGCCAACAGCCTGACCCACAGGGTGTCAGGTTGTGTTCTGACTCTGTCTGTGTTGTTCTAGTGTACTGCATTGTTTATTTTATCAAATTTTTTTTCTTCCCTATTAAAGAACTGTTATTCCTTCTCCCATATTTTTTGCCTGAGAGCCCCTTAATTTAAAATGTATAGCAATTCGGAGGGAGCTCTCTCAGTGTTGTTTTGCTTTACTGCATAGTTTATTTTATTGTTTACTACATTACTCTGTCAATGTTGTTTTAGTTTACTGCATTGTCTATTTTATCCTTTTATTCCCTTCCCTATTAAGGAACTGTTACTTCCTGCTCCCATATCTTTGCCTGAGAGCCCCTTATTTAAAATTTATAGCAATTTGGAGTGGGGGGGGGTTACGTTTTCCATTTCAGGGAGGTTCCTGCCTTCCTTAGCAGCCTCCTGGCTTTGGAAAGGAGGCAGTGGGGAGCAGGGGGTCTGTGGGTACCTGCACGTTGGCGAAGTCCACGCGGTTGAGGTCGCTGAGCATCTGGTTGATCTGGGACGTGTTCTGCAGCACGGCGCGCGCCGCCTGCGCCAGGTGGTTCAGGGACGTGTACCTGCGCAGGGTCTGGGCAAAGGCACTCACCACCCCCACCTGCAACACAGACAGCGGCTGCAGGGGGACACTGACACGTTTTAGGGAAACCCTTTCGCTAGGATTCTTCTCCTGAGAAGCTGAGGAGCTATCACTGGCTGTGGGCTATGTACAAATCACCAACAGGATGGGACTGCTGGAACGTGCCTTGAGCTGTTTTATTTTCCAGCATCAGTCTCATTTCATGGTGATGACAATGGGAAGATGCCAGCAGCTCACATCCCAAGAACTCAATGTCACAACTCACTTTAAAAGTTTTTTGACCAATCACACAAAGCAAAAGCACATTGACAGTATCTATACCTGTATAGTATATATTCTATATTGACAGTAGTTCTATCCAACCACTATAAGCACACGTGCCTTTGGTTAAACAATGCTTGCTTATTTCAAATACAATACCAGCTTGTGAGCCTTAAGACACAATGCACAGAGCTCCATTATTAAGATTAAAACTTCCTAATATCTTGCTAGATAAACTTTTCTGGAGCTTAGGGAGTTATTCTAGACAAGTGTTAACACACAGACCATTGTTCTATTTGTCTTTGCTTTTTTACATTTTACATAATTTTTCTGCTGACCTATCTCATGGCTGCTGCTTAGCTCTAATCACAGTTCTCTGTCTCTGAGGCCTGCCTTTTGCAGCTTTCCCAAAACCTTCTGAATTTATGGATTCCCACAAGAAGCCTCAGAAAAGAAATGTAAACAATAACTATCTGATGGTTGTGGAATGTGGTCTGAAGATGCTTTACCAACAGGTGCATCTTTGATTGGTCTCATGTGGATTGTTTTTAACTAATGGCCAATCACAGTCTAGCTGTGTCAGTCACAAAATTTAATCATTCCTTTCCAGCTATCTGATGTCTCCTTTCTTCTATTCTTTAGTATAGTTTTAGCATATAATTTTCTTTTAATATAATATATATTGTTAAATAATAAATCAGCCTTCTGAAACATGGGAGTCAAGATTCTCATCTCTTCCCTTGTCCTGGGGACCCTCCAACACCACCACAGCATGGCCAGTGCTGCAGTCACCAGCCATAGAAGGGCTCAAAAAACGTGTGGAGGTGGCATTTGGGGACATGGTTTAGTGGTGGCCTGGGCAGTGCTGGGGTTGTGGATGGACTCAAATCATCTTAAAGGTCATTTCCAACCTAATCCTTGTGCCAGGCACTTGGGAAAACTCGGTCAATCCTTGGGCATAGGTGGTTGTTAAACATGTTGAGGGCACAGTGTGGTTTGTGAATCAATGGTGTCTCTTTAGGTGCTGCTCAGTTTGGGTTGGTTTGTAGGGAATGAAGGATTCTGACCTCTCCCATTACATCTCCCTGGTTGCCTGGGCCACACAATGCTCCACCAGGCAGAACACCAATGGAAGGACCCAGACCTCAATAATTCTATAATTCCATTATTTATTCTCTTTAAGCTACCAGGTTTCCACACTCTGCCTCCAGCAGAGATCACCATGGTGGGAAGAGGCAGCAAGAATCCCCGGATTTGGGAGAGCAGGAGCCTTGGGGCAATGCCACTCACTCCTGTGCTCTCCAGGCTTTTCCAGCCTCATTCCAGGGCAGAGATAACAGGGAATGGTCCCGGCCCCAAGGCTGCCAGAGCTCCAGGAGGGTTTGGACACCACTCCCAGGGATGTTCAGGGTGGGGTTGTTGGGGTGGCTGTGCAGGGCCAGGGGTTTGTGATGATTCCTGTGGGTCCCTTCCAGCTCAGGATGTTCTGTGGCTCTTTGATTTTTTATCTGCAATTTCAGGGCACAGGAACAGCTCCATGGACAGAGAACCATCAACTTCTGGTACAAAGGAACTTCCCCACCCATCCTCCCACTGCTGGCTGATTTTGGTTCACAATCAACCACTGCACCATGCCAGGTGGCCAAACCCCAGCAGGAACTTGTGCAAGGTGCAGACACACCCTGGGCCCATCTCTGCTCACCTTGGTCTGCACGACCTGGGGGGGGAATTCACTCATGGCATTCATCAGCCACCCTTCCAAGCTCTTGGCAAAGTTCCGGATGGCCTGGGTCAGCGTGCCTGCAAAGAAGGCTGCAGAGTCACAAAGGCTGCTCTGGGGCATTTTTGGCTACCATTTTCTGCCTTAGGACTACTGGGAAAGCCCAGCCTGTGGTCTGGTTAGCTGAGATGCCAACTCAGCATCAAAGAAATCAGCTGGGTTGATACACCCAAATTATTCTTTGATATTATTACTCAAACTTTTCTTATTATTATTCTTCTTCTTCATTTTTATTTTTCATTTTTTTAAATTCTTACTCTTATTTTTACTCTTATTCTCACTCTTATTCTTATTCTTACTCTTATCCTTATGACAGTTAGACTTAATGATCTTAGAGGTCTTTTCCAACCTAATCATTTCTATATTTTTATTATTCTTATTTTCTTTTGTCCTATTGTTATTCTTACTTTACTCTTATCTTTATGACAACTGGACTTAATGATCTAGAGGTGTTTTTCAACTAAAACATTTCTATGGTTTTTTTTATTATTCTTATTTTCTTTTGTCTTATTCAATTCTCATTCTTATTCTTATTCTTATTCTTGTCCGTATTCTTATCTTATCCTTATGACAGTTAGACTTTATGATCTTAGAGGTCTTTTCCAACCTAAACATTTCTACGTTTTTTAAATTATTCTTATTTTCTTTAGTCTTATTCTTATCCTTATTCTTATTCTTACTTTTATCTTTATGACAATTGGACTTAATGATCTAGAGGTCTTTTCCAACCTAATAATTTTTATGGTTTTTTTATTCTTTTCTTTTGTCCTTTTCTTATTTATGGCACTTCTGAGCATTTTTCAAGCATTGAAATTCCCTTTTCAGAGACACCCTCATGCCCCAGCTTGTGACAGACCTCAGAGGGACATTTGGGAATCCAAATCAGACAGAAAACTCTCAATAGCCCATTATTAATCTCCCCAAAAATTGACCCCTAATTTCCAGGAGTGCAGTCAGGGACAGGATGGTCCTGTGCGAGAAAAGACCTCCAAGAAGCCACATCCCAAAGAACTCCTATATATCCAAACTGTGTTTTTCACCTGACTCCTGGCCAAAATCAGGAGATGTGAAATGCAACACAACAAATTTAAAAGGCAGGGGAATGCCCAGGGGGTACAAACCATCCCCCCAGAGCAATGCTGCAGGAGGAACACTGCTGTTGTCATGATGTTTTAGCCAGGATAAACACTCCAAGTGGGATTTTACAGTGGAAATCTTTATGGGAAGTGAGACCAGGCTCAGGTGGGGCTGTGGGTACTCACTGGGCACTGGCCTGAGCACGTCAGGGATGAGGATCTCCACCAGGGCCTGGTACAGGATGTGGTCACAGCTCCTCATCCACTTGAGGATGGGCTCGTACTTGCACAGGGTGATCAGTTTGTCCTTTGGGAGGGTCCCTTCAGGCTCCTCTTCACTGCAGGAGGAGGAGGAAGGAGACAGAATTAGCAGCAGGTTTGCATTCAGTGTTTTCCCTCTGCCTCTGCATTTCTAACTCCAATTTTCAGCAGAAAAAAACATGTTTGTGTGCCTTGCAAAAGGAAGTATTTGACTGCCTGTACAGATCTTGTCTCTGCCAGCACCTCCCTGTCCTTGGGGCCACAGCTTGGAGCAGTTTTCCCTCAAATCCCCACTCCTGGTGTTCCCTTTTCACCTTCACAGCCTCTCACACCCCCTGTTCAGTGGGAGCTGAGCTCCAGCACTGCCAGCTCAGCCAGCAAAGGCTCAGCTGGATCCTCCCAAACCTTCCCTCCCCTCTGCTCTCACCCTCCTGAGCCCCAGCACTGGGGACAAACACTTTGCAGCCACTGTAGGGGCAGATGAGCTGATATTGAGAAGTTTTCAAGGTGTTTAACCCCTCCAAATGCTGAACATTCTCAGAAGGCAAGATACTGAATGTTGGATGAAAACAAAACATATTGTCTGTAACTGAATGAGGTCAATCCAGCTTGCATTATTTTCACTTTGTAGGCGAATAAAGGCACAAGATATTTGTTACAAAAAAGCAGAAAGAGCTGAAACCTGAATTCACTGCCAGAGCTGCTCACCCACACATTATACTGAGAATTGGGAATTTGAAAGGATCTTTCCCCATGGAAAGGATATTTTTGCCCATCAAAATCACTAAAGCCAAGCCTTGGACATGCTCTAAAGGGGACTTTGAGCCTCAGGCTGAAGAATTTTAGTGGTGAACTCCATGTGGAAAATCCCACATGGAGAAACAGGTCAGGAAACCTGCTGTGAACCTGCTGTGAAGTGCATCCATGTTCTGCATCTTCTCATGCTTTCAGTGTGCCACCTCCCTAAATTTGGGGTTTGTATTTATATTTATGTATTAAGAAGGGGAGGGAGTGTGTTATTCACCTCTCTGGGTTAGGGGCAGAGGTGTGAGAGCCCTGCACAAAAGCTGCCTCCAGTTTTCCCCTGTGTACCTAGAAACAGCTCTTGGGGTGTTGCAATCTGCCTGGGAACTGTTCCCTCAAAAAAAAAAAAGATATTTTAAACCAAGCAAACACAGCTGCAGTGACTCCTTGCAGGAAAATATCCCCTGGGTAACATCTACAGGGCCATATTTACTGATTTTTGAGGGATTTTTCCTTATTACTCAGTGTTTTACCATTTTTCTTCTGAATAGAAAACCTTCACCTTTATAGCCTCAGTAAGAGTGGACAGATTTGTGATAGAAATTTTAAGAATTTTTTCAATTTTCTCTGCTTTCACTTATTTGCATTCCCCTGGCAGCAGCTCCCAATGCATAAAGGATGAGGAAGAGGCACAGCAACGAGCCAGGCAGGAGTGAAAAGATGAAAGCAGCTTTGTTTGCAATGATCTGCCTCAAAACATGAAGCACTGACAGGTCTGGGCAGGCAGGCAAGGCAGAGAGTCAGTCTGGAAACCCCTAAAATTTGAGCAGGGAATCCTCAGAGAATCCCTAAAATCTGAGCAGGGAATCATCACTGGGGAAAGCAGGAGGTGCAAGGGACATGGATGAGAGGAGTCAGCCTCAAGTCACCCCAGGGGAGGTTTAGATTGGATATGAGGGGAAATTTCTTCACTGAAAGAGTGGTCAGGCATTGGAAGAGGCTGTGGTGGAGTCACCATCCCTGGAAGAATCCAAAAAAAGGTGTGGATGTGGCACTTGGGGACGTGGCAGAGTGGTGATCCAGAGAATTCATAGAATTCACAGGTTGGAAGAGACCTTAAAGATCATTAAGTCCAACCCAGCTCCAACACCTCAAGACTGGTGAGGGCTGAGAACTTCTGTTGTGGAATCAGATGGAGGGGAATGAGAAGCTCCTTTTGAAAGCTCTGAACTTTGCATTATAATATTAAACACTTCCAACTCCCTTTGGCACAGCTCTGCAGGGCAGAAAATACTCCCAAATCCTCCAAAGCCCTCATTTATGCTGATTTTCTGCTGATTTATTTTCAGATGCCAGCAGGTGCTTTGGAACAGCAAGTGCACAACCCTATAGCTTGCTTTTCTTTTTATTTGGTCTGTCAAAATGCAATGACTGAACATCTCAGACAGGATTTTCTCCCCACATTAAGTTTCACTTGAAGGGCATAGATTTGTACCTGTAAGATCATCTACCTAAAATCTTGGCATTGAAGAAGAATGAGATTTAGGCTGAAAAAGACTAAAAAAGTTAATGAATGTTAAAAAGAGATGAATCTGTAAGGAGTGGAGCAGGAAAGCAGGGGAGTACCTGGAGGGCAGAGCAGTGGGGCCATCACTAGGGGGTGCCTTGGGACTCCAGAAGGATTGCCACAGCTTCTCGATGTAGTGGAACTGGAGGTGCATCACAACATCCAAAGTGGCCTGACAGCAAAGAACACCACGGGGTGAGCACTCAGCTCCAGTGCTGCCACCCACAGGAAATAATTTACATGAAAAACAACAGAATTGGCACTTTTGTAGTGATCAACTTAACAGAAAACAGGTCACACAGGGGAAAAAATACCAATATTTGAGTTGTAATTGCTGGCAAATGAAGCATTCCCAGCTTTTCCTAAGAGCTGGTCACTTGAGTGATGTCCCATGTCAATTAATAAATTAATTACACATAATCCCCAAAGAATATTGCACACAATCACCTCACAGTGCCTCCTGTAGAGAACCTGCAGAGTTTTCACGTCGTTCAAGGTGAAACCTTCTTGTAAGAGGACATTGCCAAGATCAGGGGCTGGGAACTCAGGAAAGACATGGGTTACATCTGGGAACAGAAATTGGGAGAGATGGGGAGGGTCAGGAAAGCTCAGAGCACAGCTGAGCACAAGGTGCTGCTCTCACTCTTTCATGTTCCAGCTGGGATGAGAGAGGAAAAATGAGATAATTTACTCATTTCCCTGATTTGTACTGAGAAAAAGCAAATAATCACAGCCCAGTGGGGTCAGTGGGGAAAGGAAAATGGTTCCTTTCTGCTTGTAATAAAAGAAATAAGAAAACATTATCCTCATTTACCATCCATTAGAATTTCCCTGAAGCCTGAAAATGTCTCTCTGTACAATGAGGAATAGAATTGGGCAGCAGAGGTGTCAGGAGCTGGGATTTGTGGTGGAGACACAGATCCAGGACCAGCAAATCCAGAGAAGGTCAATATGGATCATCTCCACCCAAATCCCCACTGCGGCCTTTGCAAGGAAGGGAATTGCTTCCCCACTCTGGCCAGGACCTCCAGCCCTCCATGGAATTGAAATAAATCAGATGGATTAAAAAAACACTAAAAATGAGGGACCTAACAGACCCATGGGCTTGAGGAAAAAACCTTCCTGGGGAGACAGGAGTCAGCAGATAAACTTAGCAAGTGTGACACTACAAAAACCTATAGAACACATCCTCTATATATAAAATACAGATATCTGAAAAAATAAAATTTATACATATATATACATAAACATATAAAATATAGAAAATTATATATATAATATATATTATGTACACACACTATAATATATATAATTTATATAACATAAAATTAATATCATATATATATTTATATTTACACACTATAACACATATAATTTTTATATAACATTAAAATTAATATAACATATATTTTTATCTATACACACTATAACATAATTTATATATAACACAAAATTAATATTATGTATATTTTTATATATACACAGTATAACACATAAAATTTAAATATAACACAAAAATTAATATTATATATTTTTATATATGCACACTATTATAGATATAATTTTTATATAGCATTAAATTTTTATATATATATTTATATATATATGCATATATACACACTGTAGTTTTTTTAGATAAAACCTTCCCCTTAAAACCCAAATCCCTGATGTGGAATAATTAATAACTGATCACCAAAGGGGGTTCCTCACCTATGAACTGCTGGTGGTGCTGGCACTGAGCAGCCACTGACTGCTCGGGTGTGGTGTGGGCGGTGCTGTTGGATGCACTCTCTGCCATCCCATCCATCTTCTGGGCTGCTCTGTACCTGAATTCCATCAGAATTAGGATGGATTAGGATCCACACAGACAGGAGAAAACACCTCTGTGTTATTTAGAACACACACCTGTGAGTTCATGGAGTGGTTGGTACATTCAAAGCAAACATGAGGAGGGCTGAGAATTTATATTGTGAAATCAGATGGAGGGGAAATGAGAAGCTCCTATTGAAAAGCTTCCCCAAGACAGAATTAAAGGGGCTAAGAAGTTTGGTGACAACAAAAAATCCAAAAAGAGAAGCAGAGCTGCAGTGGGGTCCAAGGCAGTTGTCTCAAGCACTGACTTTTGCACTTACCTTCTATTTAGGAGCTTAAAAAATAAATTCTGTTCCTTCTGCACTTCAGCAACAACAAGTGCCTCATGCTCTATGCACTTCAGCAACAACAAGTGCCTCTACTGAGCAGATTCTCACACCTGCTGAGTGTTTTGGGCAGGGTTTGGAGCACCTACCTTTGTTTCTGGTGGATGGGCTGCTGCCTCATGGCCATGTACTGCGTGTCCTCCTGCAGGCGGTTCAGCGGCGACTCCGGCTTCAGGCGGATCCCATAGTAGTGATATTTGGAATTTCCCCTGCAAAGATCAACTTAGTCACTAAAAAGGGCATTGTGGCCCTGGCTGCTTGGACAACACACCCCGTTTCAGGCAGCACATGGCTGCCAAGCACTGTTTGAGTGGCTGAAGGGATGAACTTGGTGCCTCAGGTTTGAGTTTTTATATTTTTCAGATTCTGTGCTGCTTTAGTGGGTGGGTCTGGGTTCACATGAGGGGATGGTGAGCTCTGTGCACAGAGCAGGGAGACAAAACAATTCCTGCTCCAGCTGGGGACCAAGGACAAATGATCCAAATCTCAGGCCAAGAGCACAAACAACGTGGGCTGGAGAGAGAAAAACAAGGATGGGACTGCATGGGCTAAAGTTGTAACTGGATACTTAACTACAGTATGCAAATGGAGCAGAACTTATAAAATTGTGAGAGACCCTGTGACCAGTTGTCCATTTTGGTGACCACTTTGGTTCATCTTGGGTGTAGCCCTGGCTGGGCTCTTGTGCTACCCAAGGTGGATCCACTGAGGCCTCCTAATAAATCCCTGCTTTGTTAATTAACTCTGTCTGTTCTCTGTTCTAGTTCAGCCTTCACAAGGCATCAAACTAATGAAATGCCATCATTCCCTGGAAAATTTAAACCCACATGTGGCCACATGCAGTGGCATTTATTCCTGCAGATCCCAGAAAAGAAACACCTGAGCCTCCTAAATATCCTAAATATCCTCAGCAGCTTCTGAGTGCACCAGAGATGCTGCAGGAGAGTTGCTTTTTATTTCTTGTCCTAGGTTGATAAGGAAGTGAGTTTTTGGGAGGTTGGAGTCAAACCAATCAGTGCTCAGATTTGAATACTGGCATGTGGTGTGGCCACTGAAGACGTGGATACACCTCTGAGGGACTCTTCTCTCCTTGATGAACTGAGAGTTGATTATCTGAGGGCTGGTGATGAACTAACAGTTGATTATCTGAGGGGTGGCAACTAGATTGAGAATCTAAGGTTTTATTTTGTGCTGGAGTGGAAATTGGGGAGGAGGAATGTTTTGGAAGGTTTTCATTCGATGTGTTTTCCTTTTTACATATTGTAAGTTAATAAAGTTTTTTTCCTTTATTCCTATGCTGGAGCCTGCTTTGCTCTATTCCCGGTCACATCTCACAGCTCTCTCTCTCTATATATGTATATATCACATCTCTCACTGGAGAGAATATATTTTCATGGGGTCACTGGCATTGTGCCAGCATCAAACCACGACAGATTAACTGCAGACTGGCACCAACCTGGTGCCCAGGCGCCGCGTCCTCAGCCCCATGAAGACGGAGCGGATCAGTTTGCCGAAGGAGGCGGCGTTGACGGGGTCCAGTTTGTGCTCCTGGCAGTGCCTCAGGTAATGGTTGTACAGGGAGCTCCGGGGCAGGCTCACACCCTCTGCTGTCTCATAGTTATCCAGCAGCCACTGCAGCTTCAGGCAGGGAAAAATAAAAAAAAACATGCAAGTCTGAAGAGAGCTGAGAAGTCAGGCAGGGTCGATGTTTAAATGTCCGGATGTTGAAGTTCAAGAGAACTGAGTAATTAATTTATATGTGTTAATTAACAGAAATTATAATTTATATAACTTTGTAGGATAGCAAAAGTCAGTTTATAGGATGGTAAAATCCCCCAGCACAAACAAAACCAGTCAGATTTTTCATTAAACCACAATCCTGCTGCCACCTCAGTGTCCACCTCGGGTTCAGATGAATTCCTGCAGAGCCAAAATAAAGCTGTAAAAATTCACATTTTCCAAGGAAAAGAGATCTTGAGATACTGCCTAAGAGAAATAAATTTTAGGGGAAACAAATTGATGCAAAGTCTTTATTAATTGGAAGATTGGCATGTCTGCAACTGCTCCCTTAACAATAAAATTAATGGTTGCCAAAGCAACCTTCAAAATCTGAGGGAATCCATCTACTTTGCAAAATTTACTGTCTGAACTCCTGACATGGCTGTTGATAAAAATTTGCAATTAATATAAATTATTTATACCAAGATAGTCTGAAAGGGCAGGTCCAGCACATGGTGTCAGCACAGGAATTCAAATGCAAAGCCCCCAATCTCCTTTAATTAACTAAATGACTTCAGCACCAATAAAATGAGAGTTGCAATAATTGAATTTTGGAAGGAATTGGACGTACACATGGACTAATATCAACAGGGTGGGTAAGAGCCTTTCAGTGTCATGAGGGGTGTCTGGGATGAACATTTTGCAGGCTTCCCTCTCCCTCCAGACCTCCATCCCTGCACCAGAATCATCTGCGTTCCCACCAGAACAGGGCAAAACAGATTTGGGTTGTGAAATCCAAATATCAGCCACAGAATCTCCATACAACTGAGAGTCAAAGCAATTATAGGAACTGAGCATGGATTTAGTCTAAAAATCAGGGGGATTTGCCAAAGCCCACAGAGCTGCACCCAAACCCTCTCCAATCCCACCATCCCTCTCTCTTCTCCCATTTTCTCTTGGTGACACTCCAAGGTCCCAGTTCACCACAAGGCTGGAGTTTTACATCAATAATTCTTTCAAACACAACCTGAGCTGTGTGATGACATCTCTGGCACCTCCACTGAGCTGTTCCTGTGTCCCACCCTGCTCTCACACAGAGCCCTCAGGGTGTGCTCTGTGGCTCTCCTGCACACACCCACACTGAAACTGCTGCTGCACAAAGGCAGCTGCATCCAAAACTGTAGTTAAAACTATTCCATTCAGTCTGGAGAGGAGAAGGCTCCAGGGACACCTCAGAGCCCCTGTCAGGGCCTGAAGGGGTTCCAGGAGAGCTGAAGAGGGACTGGGGACAAGGCCTGGAGGGACAGGACACAGGGAATGGTGACAAGGCCTGGAGGGACAGGAAACAGGGAATGGC